CCCCAAAACCCCAAAACCCCCAAAACCCCAAAACCCCAAAAGTTAAAATATTATGAGAATCGTAAAAATTAGTTATCTTTTATGAAATCAATAGTTAATAAAAATAATATCATTTGATTAAATTCTAATGAAAGAAACCTGATTCAACTCTCATATCATTTTCGAAGGTTTTATCTATTGATTAAGATGAGTGCAATGATCTATCTTGTGTGAATGTAACATATCTATTACTTGATAGTTACTCATCCATTATAGGGTGTAGAGGTAAAATTTTGGATAGCTATTTTTATGTGTTATTTCTCCCAACTATAGTAGTACTCAATAATTCCTTTTTACTAAAGTCAATTCCTATTTCAGTTTCTCTCGAGCTTTATTCTTCAAAGCTTTTTAAATGATTCTCAGTTAACAGTTCAAAATTTTTCTGAACATATCTTTTGATAACCCCAATAAATAGTTTTTGCTTTAGAGACTTATTTTTATCTTCATCATAGTTGGGGTTGAACAAGCTATTTATAACTACAGAGTTAAGTTAATCATCTTTATCTTTAGAATAGGCAAATAAATCAATCATTCTCGCTGCTAATCTTAATTAAATCTCAGTTTCGGATAATTTATTATTCTAATTTCTCAGTTCATCCTTCTAAAGCTTTTTATGGTAGCAAAACGTTATAACATTATCTAAGAAATATGGGATGAGTTTTCTCTAGAATTTTTTTAGCAAAATCTTCTTCATAATTTTAGTGTCTCTGAGGTACTTCACCAAATGGGATATGTCTAATGCATGATTTATTGATTATTCCCCAAATTTATATAAGTTGTATCGATATTCTGGTTTCTTTGTCCTACAGCATTTCAGCCTTTTTAAACTATCATAGAATAGTTCCTTATTTGTGTAGAAAAATGGAATTCTATTTCTAATATTTTTAATCAACTGCAAATAAGATACTGGACCATGCTTTTTTAACTTATATTCTAAACTCTCATTTGATTCTTACAGATTATGATCATCTATTTTCTATTCACTAGAATTTCTATCAATATAGTAACGCCTTTTTAGCATACTTTGAATGAAAAAAAATTCCTAAAGGGGACTAATCATAACTCCAACAATAAATGTAAGAATACCTAATAAACCTCCTGTATTAGAAAGTAATCCGACCAGATTATTTACCTGTCTTTCGTTTACATTAAAGTCATTTTTCATTCTTATTCTAACAATTATATAATCTTCATAATCATCTCTATCCATGATAGTTTACGAATCTAAACTTGTCTACATGTACTGATAATTGTTAATTTCAAGAGATTCATGGATTTTAGATCTGTAGTCGACCGCTTTATTTACTTGAAGAGTAAATGTCTATAGTCTTAAGTTTGACTTGTTGATAAAAAAGCTTTTAACTTCAACATTTGATTTAACTGGTTTTTATTAAAATTCTTCTGTATCAAAGTATTTATTGGACGATATAAACTTTAGCTTCGTGTTCTTTATAGAGTTTCCTATTAAAGTTTTATTAGTTTCACATTTAGTACCCGGGTAACGATTATTTAAATACTCTTAATCACAAGGACCAAGATAAATGTCAATAAACTCTGTTTCGCCCATTAAAGGAAGATCTTAATTTGGACAGAATGTGTCATATCCTTTCTCTGTATGAAATATTAGTTGTTCCAAAAAGCCTTTGTTTCCAAATAATCTGCTTTCATCACAAGGCACAAAATCGAAGTAAATGTAAGTTTCGGGTGCTATTACTAGCCAGGATGATACATTAAAATACTGATAAATATTTTTTGCATCTTGCTTAGACCATTTTGAAGGTGGTATTATAGAAACTGACCAATCAAACATTTGTTTCGTTACATTAAATCTAACTTTAGAGAGGTCATCATAGCTTGTGAATGTTTTTACCTGACTCTTATTTTAGTGGATGTCTTTAAGTTAGAAACCGATATAGAATAGTATAAGTAATGCTGAAATTAATGTGAATGTTGCTCCTAAATATGTTTTTTTCGTTTCATTTCCTTTGTAAAGCAATCTAATTCGGTGTCCATACTAGTCAATTTCTCTAAATAATCGAAGTGTTTTGCTTAAAAATTTAAATTTCATGTTTTGAGCTGATTCTCTTTAATTAAAATATTTATTATTTTTAGTTTCTTTATTTAGCTCCATATTAGAATACCATGGGGTTTTGGGGTTTTGGGG